TGGCTATAAAGGTGGTGGATTGCCACCACTCACATTGATCGTTTGCTGCTGGGGCTGCTGTGTTGACGTATAACCACCGAAGAGCTGGGTGAAGTTTTCAATAGAATTTTTGTTGATGTCGGTGTTTGGGGTGCTGATGAGGTTGTTTGATACGAGGTTTGATGTTGACGATTTGGTGTAAATGTTGTTAATGTTGGTAGTGTTTGTTGCTGCTGTTGTTGTGTCAATATATTGTGTGGTTGTAGTTGTCGGCTGTTGTTGTTGCTGCTGCTGTTGTATGATTTGAGTCTTTTGTGGTTGATTTGAAGCCTGTTGTTGTTGTTGTTGCTGCTGCTGTTGGGCTCTCTTGGCTGGTTGTATGATGGTTTGTGAAATAATAACCGGCCCACTGTTGGTGGCATTCTTCAGTTGACTCAAAGGCATCGATTTTATGGCCTGGGCGGTTTGCGGTGTGGCATTCTGTGTTGTGGCCGTGGCCGTTGCCAATTGTTTTTGTCTTAAGGCTGCCGTTTGTGAGGGTGTCGAAGCCAATATCACTGGTGTAGAACTGTTAATCAATATGGGTTGCTGTTGTTGCTGTGTCTGTTGCTGTTGTTGTGTTACTTTACCAGTTTTTGTTGAGGTAATTTTCACGGAAATATTGTTGGGTAAATTGGCCAATGGATTTGTTGACGTTGAATTGCTGGCAGGACGCATGGGTTGTTGTTGTGTTATTATAGTTCCTGGCTGAGTGGTGGTACGCACCAATGGCTTGATTTCTAGTTTTTCCATTTTGATAGGTGTTGTCGGCGTGTTCTGTTGACGTACAGTCAATGTTTGCTTTTGCTGTTGTGGCGACGTACGTATTATGACATGCTGTGTGGTTGGTTGCTGCTGAGATGTTGACGTTTGTATTTGATGCAATGTCGGCAAAGCTTGCTGTTGTATAATAACTCTTTGTTGGCTTTGTGGCGCCAGTTGTTGAGTTTGCTGTTGTTGCTGCTGCTGTTGTTGTATACGCTGACCTAAGGTTTGAGTTTGTGTATGTTGAGTCGTGATAGTTGGCTGCTCTATTTTTTCGACTTTTATATTGGCCGGTACCAGTATTTCTTCACTTTCAATTTTGATTTCTTGCTTAATACGTTTATTTACATGATTTAGATTATTATTGTTGTTAATGGTTGTTTGCTGCTGTTGTTGCTGCTGCTGCTGCTGCTGTTGTGTTTGTAAAGTGATGGTTGCTTTCTCCGGAGACTGAGTTGGCATGATGGTCTTAATCAAAGTCTGTGTATTGGGTTTGGTGTCTTCCAGTTGAGAGTTATTAACACTATCCAATATACCAGCTGGAGTGTTTTGTGCATAACTCAAAGATGGTGGAGCATATTCAGGAGTTACAGATGGTTTTTCATCCTCCTTTATGGTAGCAGTTGCTGCAATAATGACCGGTTTAATGTCTTCCTTGGTATCAGAAGCGTGACCTTCATCGGCACTGCTACTTTGACTTTGATTGAGAAGATTCGTTTCAGTTTTAATTTCGAAACTATTATTAGCGGAAGTGGGCGTAGTGGGGGTATTTGCCTCTTTTCCACTTTGGGAACTATTATTGGCAGCCGAAGGCGAAGTGCTACCAGCAGCGGTTGCTGCAGCAGCTGCGGCAGCTGCCGCCTTTTGTTCTTGTTTTCTAGCCTGTTCTTCAAGTTGCTGTTCACGTTTACGTTTCTTGGCGGCAGCATATCCTAAAGGTTGTTCGGACAATTCAATTAGTTTAATGCCACCATCCTTGCGTCCGGCTGGAGTACGACTTAAATTTGGCCGTTGAGCATTTGTCGCATTAATACTGGGGCTACGAAAACCAGATGTGGGCACTCTTGAAGGTATACCTTTAAGAGGAGTAGTGTCTGTCATTTTACGTGGCATGCCTCGAGATCTTAGGGGAATAGTTGGAGCTGAAGCCTTTTTCAGAGAAGATTGCGCATCTGCCGATTTGTGCAAAAGTTCTGTACGCAAAGTAGCACTTTTTGGTTTGCGTTTAATGGTAAAGTGCTTAACAGTATTAGGCTGTTGTCCAACCTGGAGAACAACATAATAAACAAGGAAATTAATAGCTTTTTTTAATTTTATTAGTATTTTTAATTCAACTTACCACCGAAACTAAAGCATTTTTATTGAGATATTGACATTCCAAAGGCAACATGCCCAAATCACTGTGTTTTGAAACTAGTTTTCGCAAATCGTTGACCATGTCGGTGAATATGGGACGTGTGTCCTCGTAATCCGAGATCTCTGTATTGAGCGAGCTGGTCGCAGGAAATGTTTTCATACTTTCCGCCAACATAGAAACCCATAACTCTGAATCTAGACCAGCAACTTCGATAACTTCCTCTAATTCGGCTTTCCACTATGGATAAATATTTTAGTATTATTCGATTAAACAACATTAAACAAATCAAAACAAAAACGCACACACACACTCTCTCCCTAATAAATATTTAATAACAATTTGTGCAAATGTAGGTGGACTGACTGGCGATTAGATCCCCCCAAAAAATCTAAATTAAGTGGCGGGAAAATACAACACTGATAATTCGTCAGCAAAATGATCCAACAACAAATCAATAAAAAAAAATAAATGAAATCACTTATCAACAATACTTTGCTTGTTTAATTTTACACTTTTTTGCTATTATTAAATGATAAAAACATTTTTAAACACAATATTTGTATTCGCGTTATTATTTTTTTTCTCTTTAAGAATAGGAAAAACAAACAATAGAACGGATTTTTGTTTAGCACTGACTTTTTTTATTTATATTTTTATTTTTTTACACCACCACACAATTTTCTTTTTTGTTTCTTTCTCTTTTTTGTTTTCTTATTTCACCAACATTTTATGTTTTATTGTTGTAATTGCATTGTGTGGTGTGTTGGTAATGTTGGTTTTGTGCGTGTGTATGTGTGAGCGTTGTTGAAACCGAAACTTGATTTTTTCACTATTTCACCAATATGAAGGAAAAAAATTTTTTTGTTACCTCTTCCACAAGGCGACGAGGAATATGGAAAAAACTTAATAATAATTTCAATTTGACTTGTGTCTGAAGATCGGGAAAGCATTCCTTTATGTTGCGCAACACTTCCTTGTTCAATTGGGAGCATATTGAACCACTTATCCACGAATCATTTGATGTCCCGAGTTTATTATGCAGCCACAGTGATGTGTCGCTGTCTCGCGTCGTCATTTTTCTTCTTCCTCTTTTTTGCAATTGTTCTTTTTACAGCGAACTTAATTAATATATGATTTATGTAAAAAATGGCGTCTAGCGTCACTTATGATAACTTTGTAATTGTAATTATTTTTGTAGAAAAATTATGTTTTATTATTTTTTCTTCCACTTTTTTGTTCGTCGTCTCTCTTTGCATGACGTTTTTTTATTTTATTTTTTGGCAAAGATAAGAATACGACACAAATACTCAACACACTCGTGTACAGTTGTAAAAAAACGTAGTATAACAAAAAAGATATAAGTGGTGAAATAGTTGTTTATCTGGTATTGTTTTTAATTTCAGATCCTATAATGAATCTAGATATATAACTTGTATTTGAAAAATATCCATTTTAAAATAGAATGGCAAAAAGTGAATTGCAACTAGTGAAAGGCTTGTTTATTATTGTGGGACTTAAAAATTAAAATTTTTCATATGAAACGGTAAACCTAAAAATGTTGTTGAGCGCATAACAGTCCCGGTGTATATCTTCGGATTTAATGTGTATCTATAAATCTAAGTTAAAAAAATCAATTTTAAGCGATGTCAATTATACTCCAGAACCCGTTCAAAAGTCGGAAAAGACGATATTTAATATAAAAATATTTTAAAAAAGATCTGTGACGGTTATCTTCATGAGCTACTAAATTATGTAGAAAACAGTTCTAGTACAGTAGAATTTTTATTAGTATTGGTATCAAGTATCCACTAATGGGGCTAGAAAACTCTCTATATATTTTTTGATTCAAGGAAATTATTTATATTAATACAATACCAAAATAAGCAACTCTGCACAAAAGGTGTGAAAAAGTTTCGTTGTGTTTTTATCACACCTCGATAATTGAAATAATAAAAAAAATCGATAACGCGAAACATGCCTGTTTTAGCAAAATCTTCAAAGAATTTACCTTCACTAATAGAAAATAAAAACAAGTTTGGAAATATTAAAGTTTATTAAATTGATTATAAAATGGATTTTTCTGTAACAGAAACAAAACCTAGCCAACCAAAGACTGTGTCTACATCAGCCAAATTCTTAATTTTTGCCACCGGCGGTGTGGGAGTGGGTTTGTCGGTCATTTGTTATTCGTTGTAGCTCCAGCATTTCGCCGCATTTGCCTTCCCTATGTTCAGCAACTACGGAACAAGTCAATAATGTTCTTCAGTTCCTGCCGCGCAATACTCCTAAACGTTTGCTAGATATTGGTTCTGGTGATGGAAGAATAGTTTTGGGTTTGTTGTAAAATGAAGTGCGATATGAAGGACTGTGGGTTATGTTTATATAATAATTTGTGGTTGTTTTCATTTCTAGCTACAGCAAAACATGGTCTGCAATCTGATGGAGTTGAATTAAATCCTTGGTTGGTGTGGTGGTCACGCATAGCGGCTTTACGTGAGGGTGTTGGATCGAAAACAAAATTCTTTCGTAAAGATTTGTGGAAATTTGATTTGAAAACTTATGATTATGTTGTCATATTTGGTGTCGAACAAATGGTGAGTTGAAGGATAATTGGACATAGAACCAGATTTTACTTAAAATAATCTTTAATGTTTACATAAAATGAGAATCAAGAAATACTTTAATGTACTTGTCTGTTTGGAATATTTTCGTCAGTAAGACAGACAATTTGTTCCATATTTGTCAGATTTGCACTATTTATTATAAACCGATCTATTGCTTTTCTAATCTTTTTGCTTTTTTGATTATTTGTGATTTAATCATCAAATTTGATGAGTTACTACTGTTCTACTAATCCCCCTTCTAATACTTTAGATATCTAATAATTTAAAAACAATTTTTTATCGTACTTACAGATGAAAGATTTTAGAGACAAAACTTATCGCTGAAGCCCCCAATTCCAAAGTAATAGCCTGTCGTTTTCCTCTGCCCAATTTGGAAACCGTTAAAAACCGTTGACGAAGGTGTCAATACCGTGTGGTTTTATGATCTTAGCAAAATGTCTCCACTTAACAACACAAACAAACAACAAAGTTAATAAAACAGTTCTTCAGTGGTTACTTTTTGTTGTTTTTATTTTTTGAAAAATAAAAAAAGTAATTTAAATGCATTTTTTTTTTTTTGAAGGCCGACAAAAACACATTGCAAAAAACGTTGGATATAATTTGTTTAAATATAAAAAATGTAAAAAAGTAATTGTCCACGGAAAGGACTCTAATATCTAAAATGATATATGTAAATACTACGTTAAAAAATTGTAAAAAGACGCACAAGCTACGCTTTTGCATTTCAGCGTAACTAAGTTTATAATTTGCAATTAAATATGAAAATAATACACAAGACTACTAACACAGTGCGGCATTGAATAGATTTTGAAGAGAAAATTAATAAAACTTAGTAATGAAAGTAAGCTATTTATGCTTAAGTTCCAATGTGTGTGGCTTTTTAAAAGAAGAGATTCTCAAATTGTTTTCACATAAGCTACATAACCAATTTTGAGTGTGGATAGGAGTTAAATACTATTTATAATTTTTCTGTAGGCAAATCTATGCATTGTATATGCTAAAACGTCTGCCGAAATAAATTGTATTCTCAACATCATCTCGATAAATCTCACCAAAGCCCAGTTTCAAATAATATTGCACCAGGGGTAGGGTGTAATCTTTAGCTGATAGGCGCACATGAACACCAAAGCAACCATTTGCCCGTAAGGTGGCCAATAACACGGTTATCAAACGTTTTCCCACGCCATAATCGGGTGTTAGCAAATTTGATAGAACCATCGATGTCATAACCGCCGGATATGAACTTAAAACCTCAGCAATACAAGCTATTTCACCGTCAACATGGAATTCCTTAATCATAAAGCCCAACATATCGTTTTAATTTGTCGCATTTAGAAAATGCGTTTACTTCTTCCAGTAAGTTTTGCGGATATTTTTCTTTCATTTCCGGCATCCAACACATTGCAGTATTACGCGAGTAAGTGTGATAATCCAAAGCTGCTGCTGCATAGCCTACAATCTTACCAGCGTTATCTGTGGCCACAATACAAAACTCTGGTTGTAAGGTAATGATAGGTCCAACCATGTAATCTGGTATAAGATCTCTTACTTTTTCACACAATACTACTTGCGTGTCATCGCCTTCCAATACAGCCGGAGAGGTTAAGGCCAGAAACCCTTCTGTACACACTTGATAAACCGAGGACTCATCCAGTACAGTAAATGGACGCATGGCATGATATTCAGTGGTTGGTAATTCTGGCAGTTTATATAAAAATAAATCATTACCTTGATCGACTGGCATGAGACGCTGTAAGTCGGCTATGAGACCACCACGAAATACCCAAGGTTCTTGGTCACCCGACATAAAGGCTTCCTTCCAACCTTTGCTAAACCCTTAGCAACAAAACAAAAAAAAAAAAAAACAATAAATATTTGGTGTCAATAAATCTAGTTCCACATAATACTTACATGTATACGTGCCCTGTGTATAACTATAGACATTGGGCGGAAAGTGACCTAAACGCAACCACTTAACAAATGCATTTAATAAAGATAAGGCTCCTGCTATGTCCCATACATAGCAGAACAAATCGTGGCAAATCTCTTTATTATCACACAAAGCTATCTTACGCAATAGCTCTTGTACACAATTGCACAGTTTGGTGAAATACTCGGCTCTCTGTAGCCATTCAGCTACTTCCGGTTTTGTGGGAGTTTCAGCTTCACTGCCGGATTTCTTGCACTTACCCTCATCCAATAGCACGTGAGCATTAGCTTTAAGCCAATTAAACTCATTAAGTAATTTTAAACCACGGGTGCCATGCTCAAAGGGTAAATAAAAGAGATCGCACAGTAAATACAAATCTTCAGGACTCATTTTACTCGCCTCAGATGGTATTCTGAGAAGAAATGTTTAGAGCTTTAGATATAATATAAATATAAATAAAATTACGTACTTTTCAACTTCCGTCATTTCGGCATTTGAAATTGGTGAAGATTCCACACTCTCCACTTGCATGGTGTTCTGAAAAGTTAAGACCCTTTAAATTTATTACTTTATTTTGTGTGCATAAACTTACATTAACATCACTTATTGAGCCAGTTTCAGCCATAACAATGTCTTCGTTACCACTTGTGGTCAAACTTTTCCAACATCTTCTTTAGGCGATATTTGTGAAGTGACGCTACTACTACATTCCATGGGCTCATTGCCGGTACTTAGTGGACTCAAATTATTGTCATCCACCATGGCATCTATAGACAAACCAGAACTATCAGCTTCGGTCGGTTTCTCTTCTATTGTTACATCTTCTTCTAACTTTTCAACATCTTTAGCAACAGTCTTTTCTTCATCCAACACCTCTGGCAGAATTTCTTTATCGTTATTTTCTAAATGCTCCTGAGTTTCCGGCTTCGCAACTAAATCTTCTGGTTTAATGGGTGAAATTTCATTTTCCGTATCTAGCATATCTTCACTTTCCGTATCAGATACCTCTTTGGTAGCCATTATTGGTACCGAAACTATAGAGATGGGTATCTTTTTAGGTAGCTCAATATTGGAGGCAATATTTGTAGATATTGGATTGAGTATATCTTCATTGGTCACTACTTTGGTGGGCGATACCAAAGAATTCATAACGGCATTTGATATGGGATTAACCGATGAGGAATTCACAGTGCTACAGACATCAGCTAAAGCCTGTAACTGTGTTGTATTCACCTCGGGTACGGTAACAGTCTTGGAGTTGGTAGATGTTGTTGTAGTGGTGGTTAAACTCATACAAGTATTTATAGAGGGTATAATGGGTATGATGGGCATTACCACTAAGAGAAAAGGTAGACAATTATTATATGGGTTTAAAGTTTATTGGTATTCAATTTCTGCTTACTGGTAACAGCCGGTTGAGGTTTGGTAATGGGACCCCAGGCCTCTTTTTCTATGGAAAACTCGGGAAGCCATTCGGCAATAGCATTTCTAAAATATCAATAGTGTAAATTAAATGTTAATCTAATGTATAATAAAATAGTGCGGTACAAAATCTGCTTATCAGGATCTAAACCAGCTCCGCAACTACCATTAATCACTATAATAAATTCTAAGACAATCGGACCGTTATAGACTTAGTAGGGTATTTATTAGGGTGATCGATTATTCGACATTTTCCAAAAACCGGTTTTCGAATAGTTCGAATAGTTGACATTTAAAAAAAACCGGTTGATATTTTTCAAATTCAGAAAAAACCGGTTAACCGGTTTTTCATTATAATTAAAAAAAATATATTTTAATTTGAAAAACTTAATGTCTATGTTTAAATTTGATTAACAAAACATGGCCCGAAATGATTTTTAACAGTTTAAAAGATTATAACTTTAGATCTAGTCGTCTGATTTACATTATTTCTTTAATATAAAAAATTAGGAAAAAAGTGGGACACTTCTGTTAAACATAAGGTACTATGTAATCCTAGCTTATTTTAAAAGCCCTGTTTAGGAAATTTGCATAGGCATTCCAACTCTTCCATAAAATTTCAGCCGTAAATTAATTATTGTAATTGGAATATAATCTTAAGATTGCTAAATTTTATCAAACAGTTATCAATTTTACAAATAAATTTTTTTAATTAATTAGGAAAATCAAAAAAGTTTAACCAAAAGAGCTGTAGAAAATGTACTCTAGTTCCTCGACTAGAATATTTTTAAAATTTAGACGGGCTGTATTATTATTTACTTAAAAATTTCATTTAAATAATCTTTGAATACAAAGCAAATAAAAGTATTCGAAACCGGGTTTTAAAAAGTGAAAAACCGGGTTATTCGATATTCGAAAAATCAACATTAAGAAAAACCGACACTGGTAAAGCAGAAAAAACCGGTTTTAAAACCGGTTGAAAAATCGAGTCGATCACCCTAGTATTTATGGTCGACTTTTTTACATTTTATTCTAAAACTTACTTAAGAGCCATGCGAGGATGATATATATTCTTGGATAAACAGCAGTCTACTGGTAAATCATCAGTACCATTATCATCATCGTTTTCCGTTTCCAATTTAATATCAGCAGATATGGAACCTTAAAAAATTTTTTGTGTAAAGTCACCTTAATTTATAAAGTACAAAGAACTTACTATTAATTTTCGAATCCAAACTACATCTTGACCAGTAGGCTAATGTATGAATGGCTACAGTATTAGCATGAAATTCACAATTGGGATTGGTCATGACACCTCTTAAATGGGGTATTAATTCAGGTGAACGCCCCGAATAAGGTCCCAAGAATACCCGCTTCTGGTCATAGTCATTGGCATGTAAATTATCCCAAATTACTGGTGGACGTCGTAGAATTTCCGTTATCTCCTGAATCGACTCCAAAGTAATTATTTTCGATATTACCTTACTGCCCGTCCACATGATATCGATTTCATGATTGAGCTTCGAACCCAAAGTATTTAAATATTCCGAATCATGAACAGAAGGCACAGCACGTGTACTACAGTATTGGGTGGGGCAGAAAAGAAATCGCGGATTGCCAAGATGGGTAAAGATTTCGTTGGTAACAGAAACCTGGGCATTGCCAAAAGTCTGAAAAACTTCCTTATCCGATTTCGATAACTCCGATTCTATATCATCAAAAGTAAGGCAAATGCATCGCAGCCAAATTGACTAACTTGGTCCAGTTTGCGTTTTAATGTTTGCAATTCCTTTTGGCTGCTGTAGGTCATGTCTAGACCGGGAGAGAGGGCATAGTAAAATGTTATGCCCTGTTCCTTAGCGGCAGCTATTAACCCTGTTTTATAAAATATATACAAATTAGCTACCTGTTAAACTACTTAATTTAAATTCCTACTGACCGGATAAGTGATCCGCCTCTTCCACAGTGTACAATTCACGCCAATAGGCACGATGTTTATAATCATCCTTGGGTGCATACACATATGAATCCATGCCCCATTTCTTTAACCTTAACAAAAACACATCATTTAGTACATATGTGTGTATGTAGCCTAAACAAATCAATTTGCTTACTTTCTAAATAAATCCTTTCTCTGCTCCGTGGTCCAGGGTCGCCCATAAAAACCCTCAATGACGCCGCATATAAAAGCCGGTTTCTTTTGTTCATTTTTGGGTAAATCCTTAATTATATTATTATTGCCACTGCTGCTGCCGCTGTTACTTTCTTGAGCATTCGATGTTGCTGCCACTGTTGCCTTAGTTTCATCACACTCTTCCATTTTCAATACTTTTCTAGACTCTTGTCTTACTAGAGTTTTTAAGAAATTGCAAATTCTATCGAAGCACACTTTTATTTAAATGTTAGTTGCAAATAGTTATCAATCGATATATTATTTATTTTAAATATTTTTATTCGGTTTTTTTTGTAAATTATTTAAAATTTCCTCAGAAAGAATGTGTGCAAAATTTTCGGCAAAACAAAACTAGTACAACTGACCCTCGAATAACACGTTGTAGTTTAACTTAATTTTATTATTTTCCTTTTTTGATATATCTTTCCTTGAGAGTGTTATTATATTATAAAGTCTAATTTTATATATTTGATAAATTTGTCTATTTTTTCTTTTACGCGATTATCTCTGCAATAATATTTTAAAATTTGATGATTTCATCTGCTCAGAAACTATCTATCGGGTAAATCTTTGTATAGGTGTACTGAAATCTACGTCGATTAAATTGTATAGCGTCGTTAGTTTTTAAAAATATTAGCGGCGGCTTGAATTACCAAACTGCACGAAACAACTGATTGCTTTGCCAACTATTGTTTTGCTGCCAACCGTTTTCCACTATTTGACATTCCTAACATTCGTAAACAAAAAAAACATAAATCAACAAATTTCAAAGGGGTGTTGGAATTTATTAACAATTAACCTTTTTAGTTTTATTTAACTAACAAATTAATAATTTAACTTAAGTAAATTGTTATTTACACAGAAAAAATTGAAGTGTGTTTTCAATTACCAAAATCACACTTTCAATTATTTTTTTTATTAAAGTTCAACCTATAACAAAAATTGTGTTATATATATAATTAATTTTGAACATTAAACTATGAATTACTTCTAAAAAGTGAAAAAAACCTTTCATGTTTGAATGTTAATACTGCCTAAACTTTAAAAAAATTTTTTAACACAAAAATTAATTTATAAAACAACTGTTAAATGCAACCTTTTATTGTAATACGCAACTACCGGGATGATGATGAACTTAAATGCCAGGAGCTGGTGCGTGATTATATCATGTCATTTGCCACAAAATCATTTATTTGCTTTTGCTTTCGAGAGGTGAGTGACTTGATTATGTGAATGTTTACACCTGGTAATTAGGTGGCATAGTTACTACTACTTAAGGGCCGGTCTATGCAAATCCAATTAAAATCAATAAAGTTTCTAAATGTTTCTTTCAATTGCAGATTACATTGCAGTTTATTGTTATAACTTGGGCTATTTTGTTTATATTTTTGGGTGTTCCATTAACATTTTGCTCGTTAACTATACCTGGTTGTATATTTTTCTTATTTTCTGGAACATATTTTTCTTTCTATGCAAAAGCAGTGGAGTTAATGAGGGTAAGAAATAGAAAATTTACTAAAATTTCATTTCTATGATTATGTAATGATAACTTTGAAACTCAAACCTACAACTTTTAGTAGTATTTAACTAGATTTATATTTATTTATATTTTTTTAGACCAAACCTAATCAGTCTTTGGTGGCTGAATGTTATGAACCATTTATATTTCGTTTAAAGCCAACGGAATGTACATACCAAATATTTTTGGATGACGCTCCCTATGAGCAGAGCTTTAAAAATAAATTCCGTAAAAAGGTTTGTACAAGCTTTTTAACATTATGGCTTAATAAAATAATACCTTTTTACAGATAATAGCTTGTGTTAGTGTTAAAAATCATAAAGATGTTTATAATGCTGCTTGGATCTATAGATTTGCTGTGGCTCCCGGTTATCCCTTACAAAAGATAGCCGAACCTATGATTAGTTTAGTTTCAAAGAATTGTGTTCAACAGGGTTATGCTACCTTGGAGTGTACCATGTCTGAATGGCAAGAAGAAGAGCGCGATTTTTATGATGGTTTGGGGTAATTATTAAAAATGCATATATAATTAAACCTTTTCTGATAATATTCTTTCTTTTTTCTTTTAGCTTTCTGACAAGACAAATTTACCACAAACAAATTATTGGCAGCAGCCTAACCGTTATGAAAACTCAACTAACTTATGACTTGAAAACCGACGATACTTTACAAAAACAAAACTAAATAGTTAAGGCTTCAGTAATTATGTTTCTAAAGGAGCCAGCTAAAGTATACAGCACGAATTTATAGAATCTCACTTCTACACATTCCATTTTTTATATAATATTTACACAGACTAAACAACACACTCACTATTTTACTATTGTAGATTTTTACATACAATGCTAGAAAACAACAGAAACAACAAAATTACAAAGAAATCTTCCTTTCGAATAAATAGTTTTTATACCTTAAATAGTATATAAATAGAATAAAAAGGTGTTTTATTTAATGTCATGATAATTCCTTACAGAAATTAACTGCTCTTTTAAGAAGGCGTGGTAAAAGTGGTTTATTTACAGGCGGAAGAAAAGGGTGTGTTAAAAAAGTTGTTTACACCCTACACCACTATTGTGGGGAGGGTATCATGCGTTTGTGTTGATGTTTGTAACACCTACATCCACCTTAAAGTATACCAATCAGAATTACTTTCAGATGCCCGTCTATGCATCCATGTAAACTTTTTGCGCACGCTACAGGTCGCAATTTTCAAGATAATTTAATGAAATTTGGCATGTAATCTTCTTATGACTCAAGAACAAAGCCTAAATCGGTCTATTATTATTACAAAATTCATTTAAAAATGCTAATATAAATTTCTGCATAAATAAAAAATAAAAACACATTTTCCAGCATTTGAAATTGAAATTTATTACTTTTTTTTGTTTGTTTCCATATAATTACTATTATAAGCTTATTATATTTAGAATTAATTTCTTGATTTTAAATAATTTATATCTTTGTTGTTTTTTAGTTAATAATTTTTGTTTTTTATTTATAAATAAATAAAATATATATAGTTTTTCTTTTCTTTATAATATTATCTTTTTTTTTTTTTGACATTTATATAGTTATTTTCTTTGTAACTTCAAAAAAATATTAATTAATTAATATTACGCTAAATTTGTATTGCATATGAAAAAAATTAAAGAACAAGTTGCATATAAATAGTTTAGCTGCAGTAATAAGAAGTTTAAATTAAAAAAAAAACTTTAAGGAAACAACTTGCCCTATAAAAAAGGTTTTACAAAAATATTTAAAAACAAATTAAAACAATTACATAATTATAAATTCTAAAAGATGTTTAAAATTAAAAATTAAAACAAATCATAATTAACTGGAAAAAGGGACAATAAAACCATATGTGTGAAAATTTAAACAGTAAATAGTACTTTATATAATTTTAAAGTTAAATAGTAATAATAGCAGTTGTAGTAGTAGAAATTTAAAAAAATCCTAATTTATAAAAATATATATAAAGAAAAAAAGCTTCTTAATAATGCCATGCGTTGCTACAAAAGTCGGCGGTTAAAGGCTGCATTCCTATTTGGGGGGGGGGGGGGGTGGAACTTAAAATGACTATTGAATTTTCTCTGGAGGAAAAACAAGCCAATTTAAGTGTTTAATTTTTTAATTTTTATCTATAAATAAAAACTCTAGCTGCATACGTGATGATTTCAGAGTAGGGTGTATATAGGGTGAGGGATTTCTTTTATAATTAAAATTTATTTTGTTTTTTTTTTTTTTGTTTTGTGGTGTATTGGTAGTGTTTAAATATTTTAGATTTTTATTTTTTTTTTTTTTGTTATTATTTTTTGGTTGTTGTTGGTTTTTTTACTAAAGCTGTTTTAACATTTAACGTGTTTTTTGTTTTGCTTTTTTTTTTAGAAGTTTTTGCAAAATAAATAGTTTTTAGAAAAAATATATATTTGTTTTGGTATCAATTTTCACAGTTTTTCTTTCAAAACTGCTTTTAGGCTTACAAAAAAACTAAAAACCCTTTTAATATTTCTCAATTATATTGTGTGTACGCGTGTTTGTGTTTTTTTAAGCAATTTCTTTTGATTTAGAATAGTTTTACACGTCGTTTCAATTCATTTCGTCGCCATTGAGGGAATCTGTAGAAATCGGCTCTGGTACATTGTAAAATGTGTTCAAATTCAACATCTGATAAATGGCGCTGAAAAGATAAAGATAAAATCATGTTTTGGTAATTTAATTATTCAAAAGTTTCTTTGTTTTGAACGTAATTTTGATGTCAAATTAGAATGTTTTAAAATCATAGTTTAACGCATTTTTCTTACCTCTAAATTGCAGCGATCAACATCTGAAGGCAAACGATAGTTTGTGATAACAAGCAAATGATAAGGATAAATTTTAGCCGGCTCGTGAACCAACATCGAATGGGCCATATTAGGCAAGCTGCGGCGTATTAAACCAGCCTGTGGATAGTGATAAGACAAAGCTCCCGAATATGTGCTAGAGGCGGGTAAATCACCACCCATTAAAGCGCGTCTATCACCTTCGGTTATAGAATCAACTGAGGCTAAATATTAGCAAAAAACAAAAAATAATTATTATTTTCATTATAACCATGCTAATATTGTAGTTTTACTCACCTTCTGATTTGCCACAACTTAAATCTGTACTGTGCGTTTTATCACCAAGACCTCCATATGAAAAATCCTGTTTTTTTTTGGTGGAAGGGAGAATAAATATTTTAATTGTTGTATCTTAAAGTTGTTATTAATTTTATGTACTAAAAGCCATTAATTACGAAAAACAGAAATTATTAAAGAAACTTTAAATACATGCTTAAAAAATGAAAAGAAATGTGCATGCTTTTTTTAAAGCGTGTAACTAAGTTTTAATATAAAGTCTAAATAAAATGTAAAATTATGAGAATTCTTTGTCAAGATACGGCCTATATCTCCAAAATAAAAATGTTTAAAATGAAAAAGCTGTTTGTGTGTTTTAATGCAATAATAATAAATTGTTTAGTAAACTTTTGTGCAAAAACAATTCTGGGACCTAGGTGACCTGTATTAAACAGAATTTCACGATCAAATAATAAGAATATTTGGCAAATAGGAACGATTATAGTTTATTATGAAGCTCAAATAAGATTTTCTGGTATTGTTCCCAAATTATGATAGATTCTACAAAATTATTAACTTTTAGTTCTTGTTTAAGAACTTTTCAAAAGTAAGCCTTTATAATGATCTGATAAGATTTCCTTCTATAAGTGCCAGAATTTGGACTCGATCTAGAATCAATTTATAAATATTGTTGAATCAATCTTGAATCTATTTAGGATCAACTCAGAATCAATCAAGAAACAATTTAGAATTAATCTAGAATAAATTTAGATATCAATCTAGATATCTAATCAATCCAAAATGGATCTGTAATCAAATTATTACTTATGTAATGTACTTAGACTCAATTCACAATCAATCAGGAATCATTGTATAATTAATATATAATCATTGTAGAAATAATCTAGAATCGATTTACGATTAATTCAGAATTGATCAAGAATCAAAATAGAATTAATATGTAATCTTCTTTGAATCAACTCATGAAATTAATCTAGAATCTTTTTAAGATCAACTCAGAATTAATGGAATCAATCTAGAATCGAATATCGTATCATATCTATCTATCTATCTATCTATCTATCTATCTATCTATCTATCTATCTATCTATCTATCTATATATTTATCTATCTATCTATCTATCTATCTATCTATCTATCTATCTATCTATCTATCTATCTATCTATCTATCTATCTATATATCTATCTATCTATCTATCTATCTATCTATCTATCTATCTATCTATCTATCTATCTATCTAGCTATCTATCTATCTATCTATCTATCTATCTATCTATCTATCTATCTATCTATCTATCTATCTATATATATATCTATCTATCTATCTATCTATCTATCTATCTATCTATCTATCTATCTATCTATCTATCTATCTATCTATCTATCTATCTATCTATCTATCTATCTATCTATCTATCTATCTATCTATCTATCTATCGATCAAACGTTAGCAAGCCAGCCTATATTATGCACTTGGGTCTGGGTATAACTGTAATAGATGATTTTGACTATTTTAAGCAATTACAATATTTTTACAATTAAAGCCACAAAATAAACTTATTACAAATATTAAAGAAATAAAAATGTCTATTAAATAAGAAGTACCACTTTAAAATCAAAACCGTGAAATTAATAATCCATTACAATTAACTATGTAAATAACTAAACGCTAAAGTATTTAAATATGCAGCTGCTGCTGGCAGATGATGATGACGATTAAATAAACTAAATTAAAATAAAATCAAGCAAATTAATAACAAAAGCGGAAGAAAAAATATATGTGAATGCAAAAAAGAAATTATAATAAAATATAAATCAAATTAAAAAAGCCACAAACTGAATTGCATGTAAATAGTACGTTAAGAATGTAAATATTTAGAATGAATGAATGTATGAATAGAAAAATGTATATTTAACACTGAATGAAATTAAAAGCGCTTACGGTGACGCCGTGCATAATGGCGCCGGCCGATGTGGTTGAACTAAAAGTGTGGGAACGTGGAGCTAAGCCGTATCCAGGTTTAGGTACATGACGTAGAGAGCTCACCACTACAGAACGTAAGTGATGATGTCGATTGGATGTGTAGATGTTTTTTTAATTATTTAATTATCACGCAAAACACAGAGAGAAATATTTAATATTACACAAATAGCGAGAGAGAGAGATAGGGAGCAATAATACACAACATCAAGTAGGTGACATGCAATTTAATGTTTGTTGTTGTTTTTGGTTGAAAGAATGATGAGTATGTTGTTTTTGTTTGGATGATGATGTAGTGATGATAGTTGTCCATAAATTGTGTATGATTTCAAAAATGTTTGTGATTTATTTTATCGATGATCAAAATGATGATGATGTTGATGAAGAGTTGTATGAGTAGGGTGTTTGTGAATGATAATGATGTTGATGATATGATGTGTTTTGATGTTTTTAATATTATGTTTTGTTTTATGAATGTGTATTGTTGTTGTTTTTTATATGTTCATTTTAAAAGGGAGAAAAATGTGGCAAAAAACAAAATATATATATATTTTTTTTTATTAAAAGTGCATTCATTACATAAATAATTTGTATTTTATTCACCAAAGCCCCATTTTTAATAAAAAAATATCGAGATAGAGAGTTCACATTAAAGTTTTTAGTAGCAGTTTTGTGGTTGCAAACGTCATATGTTGTTCCATTATTGTTTTTGTTAAATTTGTCGTTATAAATGTAATGTTGTTGATGTTGAATGATTAATATTACGTTGGGACAGACAGGTTGTGTACAAAAACACCATTAAATGTTGTTGTAGTTTTTTTTTATTCGTATTAAAAGGCAATGTTGATCCATAAATATTAATAATTTTTTTAGTTTATGATTATTTTTGTTAGGCAGCATTGAATAAAAGACAAGAGGAGAAAACAAGTCAGAGCAGAGGAAAAAAAAGAAACAAAAAGAGAAATTATGTAGATGATGAGAAACCAACACAATTGTCTTAATTAAGATCCCATTTATTGTTTTTTATTTGTGAAATTGTAAGTTCAAGCTAAATTTGGAGAGTTTACAAAATGTTTAAACTTTCAAAGAGTACAGCAGTTAGATTATAGTCCAAACTATTTAGATAATAGACAAGGATATAGTCAAGACAACAGTGGACTATTTTTTTGACCTATAGCCCTGTAATAGAACTGTAATCTGAACCACAGACTGTATTATAATCTATAGTCTGGACTGAACTGTAGTCTGAACTATTGTTTAAACTATAGACTGAACTGTACTTTATAATGACGACTTTAGTTTGAACTCTAGTCTTGACTATATCCTGGTATATGATCTATACTATTGTCTGGACTATAACCTAAGCTACTATTTTCAAAACAGAGTCCTTCCTACTCCATAGTTTTTTTTTCAGTCTGTAACTCAGACTATAGTTTAGTCTATATTCCAGAGTATAGAACGGACTACAGTTCGGACAGTAGACTACAGTATATTCTAAATTCCAGACTAAAATTTGGACTATAAACCAGAATACAGTTCAGACTTTTGTCATAACGTTGTTCTTTCTACTCCAATTTACAGTTTGAACGTAGTGAACTACCAACTTAATTAGTTCAGACTATAACGCAGGATTATAGTGATGACTGTTTGTCCAAACATTTGTCGACATTCCGCTTTTAAAACGTTCTTCCAAATTTTGCCTGAACCATTTATTTTATCTAATAATCATCATTGTAGCTACAGAAAAAAAAAATTAAATAACCATAACTTCACCATCGTTGTTAATCTGTAAATTAATGTGTATGTGAAAGAAAAAAGTGTGTGGATGGATAGATAGATGAATTATTCTGTAATGTAATGTGCTGTGATGTATACATATTGTAAATGCGTGTGGTGTGTGGCTTAATGAGTTTTAAGTTCGATGATGATGTAATTTAACCATTACTAGTTATTATTAATATTGCATTAATGTTATTAATATGATCTTAACCACAAGAGTTTAGTTTTTTTTTATACCAACAACCAAAATACTTTTGTTTTATTAACAAAACACAGCATTTACAAATATAAAGTAAAAGGAAAGCAATAGGTTTCTGTTATAAACGGTTTTAGCGTCCAACACTTATGTAGTTGGTAGTAAGTAGTAGAGTAGAGAATTGTTGATATTTTGCACACTTACTGAACTATAGCCATTGCGTATATACGGCGGCAAGGTTGATGTTTTAAATCCATATCCAGGTTTTGGTGGTGATCGGTAGGAATGTATAGCTGTGTTTTTTATTTTATTGGTTGGTAGTTTACAGTTGGTTTTTTTTTTTTGAATATTTTCAGAATTCAAAGTGAAATCAAGTTTTTTTTCAGTAACAGAACAAAACACCCCAAAAGAATTTGTGTTTTTTATTTTGTTTAAATAAATTATAAACCGAAATAAATTATAAAAAGAAAATTAATAATAATAAAAAGTATAAAAATATATAAAAACAAAAGTTTATAATAAAGAAGAAAAAATAAAATAATTAAAAACTCCCATAACCTATAGCTTGGGTATAAATGTATAGAAGGACCTGTGTTTGTTTCTAAATTGTTCAGTATTCAATATTTTCATTATTTTTTTGCCATAGTAAGGAAAGTGTTAACTTCAGGAATTGTTTTATATTTATATAAGTTTTAAACAATATTTAAAGTTCGATGTAACTGTGCTTAGGTTATTTTCCGACTTACCGTTATAACTGGGTGCATTGCCCAATGATTTACCAAGTGAACCTCTGTAGCTCGTTGAACGATCGAACATTTCATCTTCGTAGAATGGTTTCTGATGATCCAAATTACGTGATGGTGAGGCACCAATAGGAGACTCGTATCTTTGATTAAAATAAGAAATATAATGAATTGTTAATGAAAAATATTTAAAACAATATTTGTACCTTAATTTATATACTGGTTCTTTGGATGCTGAAGGTGTGCGTGATGCATTTCTGGGATCTAGATTTTGTTGTTTCCACTTGCGGTATTTAGCAGTTTCTTTTAAATCTTTAGCTATAGCAGAACCAATGCCGGAATTTAATTTTTCCAATTCTTTAGCTTCACGTTGTAAACGTCTAAGGAAAATATCAAAACAGAAATTTAATTTTTTTTTAGAAAATATTTAAAAAAAAAAAAAAAACTCAACTTACGAATCTGTTTCACCATTTTTCGTTTCGGTTTCTTCTTCATCATCCGATACGGGTACACCTTTGTATGAATCGCTATAACGCCGTCTTCTTTCGGGATCTGTGTAGGGATATGGCGGTGCAGGAAAATCATCACGTTCGATTTTGGGTTTTTCACCCGGTTGTGGCTTTTTGGCTCCCGGATAATGTGACAATTCTATGGGTTCTTCGTTGTTCATGGCAGGACTTTTTGGTCTGGGTGTTTCTGAACTTATAGCATCCACCAACACTTTCATGGCGCTGCGTGTACGCGAGCCAGGACGTGATGGTGGTCGACTGCCAGCCACTGAACCGGCATTGCTAGTGGCATATGATGATGGCCTATGGAAGTGTGGTGAGAGTGGAGTCTTATCATATGGATCAATCGGTTTACGCAAATAATTGGGAGCATCTGTTAAATAGCTGTAGGTGTAGATACGTGAAATATCTTCTCCGCCATGACGGCCATATTCACGTAATATCAAACCAGGACTAACCGTACGGAAATGCTGTAAATTCAAATTAAATGGATAAACATTAATATCAAGTCTTTCTTAACCAAAAAATGTAAAGACAACTCTCTTTATATTCTTGATTATATTGAGGTTTAAAGTTAGTAAAAGTGAGAGAGATAGCGAGAAAGTAAAATGCATTAAAAGCAAAAAAATCATAATAAAATATGTTTCAAAATTAAAAAATAAAATTAAAAAAACAAACCTTGCGGCTAGAGGAATATACGGAACCATTAAAACTCGGCGTTCGGGAGCGTATGTACTGTAAACAATAAAAAAACAAAAAAGAAAATCTTGCAAGCTCAGAAAAATGGTGTGAATTTTAAACAAAATAAAAAAAAAATAATATTAAAAAAATGGAATTATGTATTGAAGATGACTGAAATTGTAATGAGTAGTATTTTAATGGTGTAAAAAAATCTCTAGTTTTAAACCAATTGCGGTAAGTTGGTGGGTGATTGTATCAGTTGTTATATTAGTAGTAACTAAAGTGAATAGTTATTTCTTTCTACAGCCAGCTGGGGAAGTGGGTGTGCAAAGGTTATTTTGTGTGTGTGTGTATGTAAAAAAGATGTAATGAAATTTAACAGAAGGTTTAAGCCAAATCTTATTAGAATCAAATCACCCCATTAAATAATTTTGTTCTCTTATGTTTCATTTCATGTACAACTTTTATAGTAGAGTGTAAATTTCCTGTAAGTAAACCCAAATCATGTGTTACGTTTATCTTAACATTTAACTCACCATATCACTTAAAGCACTCGAACTCATGCGGTCACATTCGGTATCGGTGAAATTGCCATTTGAAACACCAACACCACTGCCTCCATTCAATATTAGACCAGTTTCATTGGGTCCAGGACCACAACGTGGATGCCATATAGCACTGCCTTGCAAATACATTTCCTCACCATCACCAAATGGATCACCACATTTGGTGCAGCGAGCACATGTTGGATGGAAATGATGATTTTCTCCCGCCTGCAATACTTTGCCGCTAATAAAACGATTACAGTAGGCGCACTTGACACCGAAGGATTTCTGATAACATTTCTCACAATACGGCACACCGTCTTTACCCATATATTCACCATTTAAAACGGCAGTACAGGATTTACAACGGAAGCACCAAACATGCCATTGACGATCTAATGCTACTAATGCTTGACCCTCCTTTAACAATTCTCCACAGCCGGCACAATCATTGGGATCGTAGTCCTCTTTTAAATGTGCCTTATCCGATAAAACACCAGTGGTCATTTGTTGATGGGCCGTAGCACGAGTTGGTGACTCAGCCACAGGTGTTGGTGATACTGTACCATCTTTGGTTACTTGCTGTTGTTGTTGCTGTTGACGTGTGGGTGATATAGCACCGGGACCAGCAACACAATTTTCACAAAGCACCTCTTTACCCGTGTTAGTTACCTGGAAAGTAGATGTGATAATTTTGTTTCATTTAATTTAGAACGTAGATAGATAGATAGATGATAGATAGATAGATAGATAGATAGATAGATAGATAGATAGATAGATAGATAGATAGAGATAGATAGATAGATAGATAGATAGATAGATAGATAGATAGATAGATATATAGATAGATAGATAGATATAGATAGATATATAGATAGATAGATAGATAGATAGATAGATAGATAGATAGATAGATAGATAGATAGATAGATAGATAGATAGATAGATAGATAGATAGATAGATAGATAAATAGATAGATAGATAGATAGATAGATAGATAGAGATAGATAGATAGATAGATAGATAGATAGATAGATAGATAGATAAATGATAGATAGATAGATAAATGATAGATAGATAGATAGATAGATAGATAGATAGATAGATATATAGATAGATAGATAGATAGATAGATAGATAGATAGATAGATAGATAGATAGATAGATAGATAGATAGATAGATAGATAGATAGATAGATGGATAGATAGATAGATAGATAGATAGATAGATAGATAGATAGATAGATAGATAGATAGATAGATAGATAGATAGACAAATAGATAGATAGATAGATAGATAGATAGATAGATAGATAGATAGATAGATAGATAGATAGATAGATAGATAGATAGATAGATAGATAGATAGATAGATAGACTGGAATTTCCTGCTTGTCTCTAAGTAAACATGGAATTAAAGTGTTAATTTAATTTAAAAAGTTGCAAAAGCTACTACATATTTTCCTTTTTTAACATTATCTATGTTTTTCAATATTGTAAATATTTATTTTTTTTTTTCTTTCATACGTATCGTAAAGTAGATAACACAAGTTCAATAATATTTTAAAAAATCAAACGTTTTATGTATAGCTAAGACACTTGTCGCTGATATTATTAGAAATATATAAAGAAATAAAAACTAGAAAAAAAAAACACTTAGAGAATGACGTCAACATGAGTCATAGACAATTAGATATTTTGGCTATATCCAATAACCAAAAATTTAAACAATTAGAACCAAATAACACATACATATTTACATATAAAATGTTTTTTTATTACAAAGTCAAGTCGTGAACTTATGTTTAATAAAAATTTAATTAATATTATACATATGTATGTATGTATGTATGTATGTATGTATGTATGTATGTATGTATGTATGTATGTATGTATGTATGTATGTATGTATGTATGTATGTATGTATGTATATTGCAAACGCTGCAAGAAATAACCTGTCTCTATGTCTTAAAATTATTTTACTAAAAAGCTAATAAAAACTTTTTGTAATATTATGTTTATTTATTCGGCCTTTAATTTATCACACACACCTCCAACAAAAATACAAATTTTTCATTATAGCCATAATTAATCAAACATATAGATAAATACAAATACCAATCACATTTAATACGCTTTATATAGATAAAACAAATAAAATAACATTTAAAATATTTTCGTATTTTTCATCGTCGTCGTTACTTACCTTACTACCAGATTTAAATGGATGTTTACATTTGGAACATGTGAAACACTTTTGGTGATAAGTTTTGCCCATTGTTGAGACCACTTCTCCCTCCACATAATTCGAACAGGCAGCACATTTTGTACCATATAAACGCTGATAATCGGGTATACAATAGTAAGCACCATCTTTGGTAAAGAAACCACCTGTGGCTAATGATTTCTTACACTGACAACATTGGAAACAGGCCTTATGAAAATGTTTATCAGCGACACGTAACACTTCACCGGAACATTTTTTGTCGCATTTGGCGCAATAGATTTTTTGTTTACCTGTAATTAACAAAAATAAAATAATTTGTATTATTATTAAAAAAAAAGAAATATGTAAAATGATTATTACAAACACATGTCTCATAACCAAAAAGAGTAAAAAGTTTAAATGCTTTAAGAATATAAATTAACAGCAGAGTCACAAAAAAAGAAAAAGCCACAACAATTTTTATAAAATACACCTCATTACAAACCCCAACGATTATCTCATCGTCATCATAAACTATAAAATATTCACAGAGAGACAGACACACAAAAAATCATTCGCACAATTGAAACCAAAAATGAACAAAAAAATGTTGTAGTCATCATTATCATCATCACCGTTCTAATCATCATCTTCATTCATTTTAGCAGTAGCATAACATCATAATATTACTTTTTTCAATTTTTTGTTTTTGCAAAAATGTATTTTGTATGTATTTAAATAAAAAACATGTATTTTTTTGTTTGTTTATTTACTTAGATATTCGTATGTTTATTTGTTTGTTCGTTGCTGCGTCTAAATAAATAATATAAATTGTATGTATACGTCCGTCAATTACTTTATCTCAAAAAAAAAAAAAAACAGACAGACAGAAAGTGGTCGCTCATATATCAGCATTAGTGATGCCAAATTTAAGAATTTTTTAGAATTAATGGGTATGTTGTTATATAGTATGTGGGTTTGTGTGATATTTTTAGCATATTTATATAATAGAGTCTTATCCGACTTCTTGCCTGGAAACTAGTCAATGTAATAACATGATCTTTTCTGAAAACTTCAGAAACGGATCTCTACTACTATCTAGGAATCTATCTATCTATCATCTCGATCTATCATCGCTGAACATCTAATCGATACTAGCACAGATCTATCTCATAAAACTCAGCGAATCTACTACTATCGAGCGACACGCGACTACTAGCGACGATCATCCGATCATCTATGCTATGCTATCTATCTATCATCATCTATCGATCTATCATATCTATCACGAGCGAGCGAGGAGCGCGAGCGAGCGAGCGAGCGAGCGAGAGAGCGAGCGAGCGAGCGAGCGAGAGCGAGCGAGCGAGCGAGCGAGCGAGCGAGCGAGCGAGCGAGCGAGCGAGCGAGCGAGCGAGCGAGGAGCGAGCGAGCGAGCGAGCGAGCGAGCGAGCGAGAGCGAGCGAGCAGCGAGCGAGCGAGAGCGAGCGAGCGAGCGAGCGAGAGGAGCGAGCGAGCGAGCGAGCGAGCGAGCGAGCGAGAGAGCGAGCGAGCGAGGAGCGAGCGAGCGAGCGAGCGAGCGAGCGAGAGAGCGAGCGAGCGAGGAGCGAGCGAGCGAGCGAGCGAGCGAGCGAGCGAGGAGCGAGCGAAGCGAGAGAGCGAGCGAGCGAGCAGAGCGAGCGAGCGAGCGAGCGAGCGAGCGAGCGAGCGAGCGAGCGAGCGAGCGAGCGAGCGAGCAGAGCGAGCGAGCGAGCGAGCGAGCGAGCGAGCGAGCGAGCGAGCGAGCGAGCGAGTCTAGCTAGCAGAGCGAGCGAGCAGAGCAGCGAGCGAGGAGCTAGCTATCGATCGAGCGACGAGCGAGCAGCGAGCGATGCGACGATCATTAGCGAGCATACGAGCTGAGTCGATCGACAGGAGCGAGCGAGCGACGAGCTACGAGCTAGCGAGCGACATCGAGCGAGCGAGCGAAGCGACGAGCGATCTAGTCATCGAGCGATCTAGATCTTAGATAGCGACTAGCGACTCGATTATCTATACTAGCGATCAGCTACTATCGACATCTACTATCTATCTATCATATCTATCTAGCATCATCTATCTATCTATCTATCTATATATTCATCTATCTATCCTATCTATCTATCTATCTATCTATCTATCTATCTATCTATCTATCTATCTATCTATCTATCTTATCTATCTATATCTTTAAATTTAATTTTCTTTTGGTAAGGTACACACATATTAAAATTATCATTATGAATTGGTATAAATAATGTAAAAAGCAATTAAATATATACAAATTATTACAAATTATGCAACATTGTAATATGATATTGGGAGAAATCGTTAAATACCACAAAATAATGTAAAGACCAAATTGACAACATTGATGACGATCACAAAATAATGATGACGACTGTGGTGACCAACCAATACACTTGTGTGTAATTGTATGTACATATTGTTGTTTATTCAATTAGTAAAGTTCAACTAATTACTTGTGGCTTTTTTGTAGTTGTTGCTGTTATTATTGTTGTACAATTATTTTAGAATGTGTATGGTAAAAAATACAAAAATTATATACTTTTACACATTTTATTTATTTGTTCATAATTGGATGTTTGTTTTCTTTTTGTATGCATATAATTAAAAAGGCCTTAAATCTAGTAAAAAACTCTTTACTTTCCGAGTGTACAAAACCACTCTCTCTCTCTCTCTCTTACGATCTCAGTGCTCTTTTAGGCAGAGTGATCGTGTGTTGCCAATTTGACTGCTGTTTTTTTAAAATTAAATTCTAAAAGTTGTTTCCATGTTATTGAAAATAAATTAAAAAATATTTTTAAAAGTATTTGATGTTGTAAACAAAGTATAGTAGAAGTCAAACAGACAATTGGAGTTTTTTTGGTTTTTTGCATTTCATATAAGAAAAACAATACTCATACTTTGAAATAGAAGGGAATATTGGGGAGAAGCACCCAAAGCAATTAACAGTTCTATTTTTATACACAATTTTCTTTATTTATATTTGTTTTCTTTATTATAGTAAGCGTACGTAGTCGTAGTATGTAGTTTGTTTCCTTTTGTAGAGATTATGAAATTCTAAATGCCATTTAAGAATTATGATCTTGAAAAAATATACACACATCTTTGTGTTGTTGCTGTTTTTTATGGGTTTTTTGTTTAGAAAACTTCAAGGGCTTAAAATGAAGTGATTAGGAACAAATGTTTTTTTTTCAGTTGTTTGTTCTTATTTTTAATATCTGTTGTAAAAGTTAAAAATAGTACATGTTTGTTGCTATTTTAGTATAAATGATTTATGAAAATTAAATTGGAAGTTAATTTAAGTAGGGAAAAACTTAAAACATTTTTTATGGCCCTGTATTAAATGCAGTTTTATGTGTTAATTAAAAAAATCTTAAACATTTTTATTATAAAGGAAAAACAAGCAAGTGGTGGTTTAACATAGTGGGCTGGATTATTTATTTGTTTAAAATGCGCAAATGACCTCATCCAAAACATTGGAATGATGACATAAAATTTATATTTTTTTACATACATATGTACATAAGTGTAAATTTGTCAAAAATCATTAATGTGTCATAAATTGGTGTGGCAAATTTATAAGGCATATTGATATTTTTTACATAAAATTAGTTTAAATTCATTAACACGATGAATATCTTCTTTTTAAATTTAACCTGAAAAGGAAATGAATCTTTAATTATACCTTATCCAAAATTTTGCCAAAAATCGAGACCTCTTTAATCATTACTTCCAATTAAATTTTTATTACTTTTACTGCTATGATTTAAAGCTTTATTTTTACATTACTTTTTACTTTAATATTTATTGTAGTAATTGTTTCCTGTTATAAAACAGAAATGGAAATTAAAGTTACTACAATACAACAATACTACAGTTGACCTCATATACACGTGTTGGTGACCTCCATTTTTATTATTAAAAGCTGGCAGCAAGAATAAAAAAGTTTGTAGAGAAATAACAACAATTTTACTCTGTTAATCTAGTTAAAAAAGAGTGTGTTTTAAATGGACGTGTTAATATTTTTAGTTTCTTATGTATCAGAGTTGGAATGTGGGTAAATTGAAAACCTAAATACAAACTATTATCGATGTCACTTTATAAATTAAAAGAGGTTTCATTCCGATTTTAAAGATACTCAAATAATTCCACTTTCAATCGTAATAACAGACAAAATAATAAATTAAACGAATAAATAGGAATTACCAAATATTGTAAATCTTGACCTTTGAACCATACAGTTTAGGGTAAAAACTTTCCACAAATATTCTGTATAGATTATGGTTTGTTTGATATTTAAAATTCACTATAAATTTGGTTCATGGGGGAAATATAAATATGAAATTTCACATAACCGAATATAAGACTCTTACTTACAAAATTATCTGATGAAAGACTTAAAATCCTAATGAGAATGATTATCAAAGAAAAAAGTTTTTGAGGTCAAAGATCAAAATATTTTTTGCAGTGGCTATAAAACGATTTGTATTCAAATTAAGGCATACGAAATCAATTGAAATCTCACAGAATTTCAACAAAGATTTTGTGCCAAAATTTAAAGCCTAAATTTCAATGAGGGAAATGTCAAAAATTCCAATAGCACTAAATTTCCCAACTCTGTATAAAGTAATATACAAAATTGTTGTTATTGCTTTAATATTATTCTCTAACAAGTGACATCATCAGCGTAGCCGACTTTTTTTGTTGTTGTCGACACGGTGTCGCAATTAAAAAAAGGCACACACAGATACAAACATACACAGATACAAACTGATAGACAAACTAATCATACATGTAAGAACCACTTTAGACAGAGTTTGTTTTGTGCTGTAAAGAGATAGTAAATCTATTTTAGACTGAGAATTCGAAAAAAAAAGTATTAATGACTGACTGCTTGACATGATGACTGAGTATGTCTGTGACACTGTTTTTTCTCGTTCTCTCAGTGTAAGTAGTAATGTGCGTGTGTAAAAGTAATGTAATCAAAACTTTACAAAATTATTACCAAAAATTTAAGAGCTATTACATTGTTTTTTTCCTACAGTTAGTAAAATAGAAAAAACATTAACTACTCCCAAATTTTGTTAAAAATATGTATAAAAAATAAATATTAATGATTGCATAATAATTATCACTTTTGTTTTTGTTTAAACAAATACGTCATGATTTAATAAATACAATTTATTTGGCGAGAATAATAAAAACAAATAAAAAAAAGCTGGCTGGCTTACTGTCAGACTGGCCAACAAATAACAATAACAACAACTCT